AGGGCTAATTAGTCGCTAATTTGTCACGCGGCTTTGTCACCGCGCTTTAGACACCGCGGTTTAGTCAGGTGCGCTTTTGTTGTGCGCGCATTTGTGGTGGAACCGTACATTCCATATATAGCTCTTTAAAAAAGGTTATATCTACCTTTGTAGATATTTCTTGTCCCATTTTCTACTCTAATGCCAATAAATCTGTGGAACATATAGCATTTCCTCATTTTTTTAATTAGGCAAGGGTTCTTTGAATATATAACTGTCTGCAGAAGTAATTGCAAGGTATAATAAGACATCAGGAATTTTGTGTATTGGGATATCAAACTTTCACTGTGAATTTGCTGAGATAGATTGTTATATAGAGAAACAGATATTAGTATGTAGCTCTTACTTACATTTCTGGTCATCTAAATTAGAATTGTTGGGGAATTATGGTCAGTAACCTGTTCAGAGGCACATGTTGGCTGTCCGTGATGTAAGGCATGATGTCAATGATTTCCTTCATTGTAGCTCTGTTTTTGGCTTTGTGACAAATCATGCTAAGCAATGCCTTGTTTATGCAACATGCTAAGATAAAACCAAACCTATCATCTAGCATGATGTATGAATGCAGACCCTGATACATTTATATAAACCATTGTACATGGCTACACAAATACATCATCTCAAGGTGGTGATACCTCACTCTGAATTGAATGCATAAACAAACAAAAAATCAAGTGGAACAAATCCAGAGGCACTGTTTAATTCTGCAAAAGGATAAGGTTACGCATGACACTTTCATTCAATTGTCTATTCACATCAGATTTTAGCCCCAGCCCTGCTCTAGTCGTCTGTTCATAATTGCTAGCAATTTTTATTCTAATAGCAAATACCGTATTTTTGGAGTATAAGACGCACCTTTTTTCCCCTAAAAAGAGGCTGAAAATCTGGGGGCGTCTTATACACCGAATACAGCATTTTTTGCTTCCTGAAGCCCCGCCCCCTTCACCAAAATGACCATGCATAGCCTTATGGAGGCTTGCAGACAGCTCCCGGAGGCTGGAGAGGACAGAAATGAGCAAAAAACAGGCGTTTTTTTGCCCCTCCAGCACTCAGCAGCACTCTACAAGCCTCCATAAGGCTATGCATGAAATTTTTTGACAAAAAGAACAGCCCGTTTTTGCAAAAAAAGGGCCATTTTTTGCTCATTTTTGTCCCCCACCCCCAGCACTCTGCAAGCCCCTCCAAGGCTATTCATGCCTTTTATTTGAAAACAAATGGGCCCGTTTTCACAAAAAACGGGCCGTTTGGGGGAGGTTTGCTGAGTGCAAAACCTTTTTTCCCCCTTTCAAAAAGCTGTTTAATTAGAGTGATTGATGAGAATTACATTGGTCAGGTGCTGTGCCAGCAGAAACAAAGTTTTAGGTGCTACAGGTTGTCAGCGATTTCCTTCTCCAGCACATGGATAAATACCCCTGGAAACATCTACCTACCTATCTACCTACCTACCTACCTACCTACTCTCTCTCTCTCTCTCTCCCTACCTACCTACCTACTGTATTTCTCTCTACCCCCTCTATCTACCTATATACCTACCTACCTACTCTCTCTCCCCCTACCTATCTACTGTATCTCTCTCTCCCTCTCCCTCTATCTACCTATATACCTACCTACCTACTCTCTCTCCCCCTACCTATCTACTGTATCTCTCTCTCCCTCTCCCTCTATCTACCTATATACCTACCTACCTACTCTCTCTCCCCCCTACCTATCTACTGTATTCCTCT